ATTATCTCTAGCTCCTATTCCTAAGTCTTCTCCACCGTCCTTCATTAGAGGCCCAGTTAACTGGAAACTCTTTCACCGAATTCTATCCGATAAAATTGACCACAGAATAACCCTAAAAACTATAGATGACCTTGACAATGCCGTACACCTTTTCACCAACTTACACCAACTTCAGAACTTTCAAGAAAAATAAGTTACCTCAACACCTCATAGACCTAATCCATACCAAACGCCGCGCCAGATTATTATGGCAACGTACTAGAGACCCCATCGATCGTCGCTCCTATAATTTTTACAGTAAACAATTAAAGCAGGAATTTGCCACCTTCAAATCCCAATCCTTCAACTCCTACCTTACTTCCCTCTCTGTTCATGGCAATTCCCTATGGAAGATCACCAAGAAAATCCTAAAATCCCATCATATTTCCCATCCCCTCCGTCGAAGCGATGGCTCCTGGGCAGCGTCTGATGAAGATAAAACTGAGGAATTCGCCAGACACCTCTCCAGAACATTTACCTCTCATCCGGAATCCAACCTCATCCATACCACAACAGTAGAAGAATTCCTTACATAACCCATTCCACTTTCCTTGCTCCCTAAAGCAGTTAATCCTTCTGAGGTCAAACATCACTTACAAAAACTTCCTATCCGTAAATCTCCTGGATACGACCTCCTTACCTCTCAAATCCTTCTACAACTTCCTCCTAAAGCTGTTATATTTCTCACCTACTTATATAATGCCACCGCCTTATATGATGACACCGCCATTCTATCATCCGACTCAGATCCTGATATAGCATCCTTAAACCTTCAAATACACCTCTCTCTGATTGAGCACTGGTGTAATACATGGCGAATTAAAGTAAACGAATCCAAATGCCAACATATCACCTTCACACTCCGACGCAGTTCCTGTCCACCAGTACACTTTAATTCCATTCAGCTTCCTTTCTCAGACACAGTCCGGTACCTTGGCTTTCTCTTAGACAGACGACTAACGTGGAACCCTCATACTAGACTTAAAAGACAGGAACTAAACCGACGATACGGACAACTATACCGGCTACTAAACAGAAAATCAAAACTTTCCATTGAAAACAAGTTACTGATCTACAAGACAATACTGAAACCTATCTGGACTTACGGACTTGAACTGTGAGGAACTTGGCAAAATTTACTAACATCAAACGCATCCAATCCGTCCAATCCAAATTCCTTCAAACAACAGTCAATGCTCCTTTCTATGTAACCAACAAAACCCTACACCATGACCTTAATATCCCATTTGTCCTAGACCTTATCCCAGCAAATTTCTCCAAATTCCACCAGAACCTTACCCATCATCCAAATCCCTTTGCACAATCTCTATCCAGCACCACCCATCCATTTAATCCTCCTAGGAGGTTAAAACGGCAGTGGCCCCGCGATCTTTTATAGTTTGTAAATATTGGAGTTCTGGCAATGGCCAGATTCATAACTCACGACATGAGTGTATGTGGCTAAAGCACTCTTGCTCAATCTCCATTGGGCTTAACCCTAGTGACGCGGTTGAGAGAGGAGTGCAGGGAACTCCTGGAGTCATACTTTTCCCTCCACAGTTGGAGGGACAAGTCTGGTTTGGAGTTCTCTCCCCAAATTGTAAATATTGTATATAGGTGTGCATGTGTTGTTTTTATTTATTTATTTTTAGGTTATTTTATTCTTATTTATTGTATATATATTATTTTTCTGTATAATTTATTTTATTTACTGTACATAGAGTCTGAATGTGATCTGTGAACACTATTATAAATGTCCTTGAGACAGATTGTAATATTTTTCAATAAATAAGCTATAATAAGGAAAAAAAAGTCTTCAATTTGTATTCTATCATTGAAATTATGTAGTCTGCAATTGATATAAGTAGTCTACTACTGTAAAAATTGCAGAGGGCAATAAAATATAAAATTATACTCATACATCATGAAGAAATAATTAGTTTTTATGCTCTTTTGTAAAACACTCAATTTTTACATGCGTCATTTGCACTAACAGTAGTGATACATATTCAGTATGCACTAGATTTTTTTTTTATTGCGAATTATCAAATATGCAATCTTAAAAAATAATAAATAAATAAATAAAAAATGCTTAAACTTTTAGCATTTTAATATTTTCTGATAAACAAAACTCGTTGATATCAAGCCTGTTTATGTTGAGGGATTACTGAATTTCCAAAAACGGCTTCTTCCAGAGTATTTATTCTCATAAGAAAATTTTTAGACATTTAATATAGATATTTTTCAGGAAATGAAAACGGTGAGGAAGCTGTACTGACCTTACTTGGCAGACGTTTTCTATTTATGATTTATGAGTTTTACTAAACAACCTATCAACTATTCATTAGTTGACTATTTTAGTTTATAAAACAGGTATTAATATGACTCATTTCAGGGGAAGTATATACAATTTAAATTACCTCTAAGAATCAGTAAATATACAAAACAAAATGTTAAATTCCAAATTTTAAACAAAAAATTCAGAAAAGTTTTGTTATTATTATTATTATTTTTGAATTAAGTTTTATTATTATAGTTATATCATTTTTACAATAGAGGCCTTAAAAAAAATTGTTTAACTTCTTTGGACGATTAAATTAATATTTGTTTGTTAATACAATCAATATGATGTACCCAAATGTTATTATAGCACTATAACTAAGACTCAATGATGCGGTAGAGGCCTGTAGGCACCTACGACAGCACCACCTTTCTGCCGCTTAAGTGCATTTCTACGAAACTGCTTCAAATACTTTAAAAAGTATCTGTGTTTTAGAAAGAGAAATATATTCCCCAGATGTGTTATTTAAGCACGTTTTGCGTTATTGTTTGTCGCTTAATTACAAACGACACTTGATTTTCAACTTGAATTTTTTTTTTTGAAAACGTTAACTTTACTGTTGTTTTTTACTGCCTAAGCAAATTCTTTTTTCATGTTTTCTTATTGTCTAAAGAATAAAACTATCCAGCTTTATTAAAAGACCAACTATCCGGGGAAGCGGATCCCATCAGGATGGATTTTGTGTTCTCCGTATTTAATGTGAGCTTATAATACTTGTCCATGCTCATATTCTGTTGATGGCTTCTTGCAGTTTCAGGATGGCATTAGAGGAATCTGGAAGGAATTTGGAAGGAAAAGTAAATTTGGACGTCGTCGACAAATAGGTGATATTAACCGTGCATGAAAGGGGAAGGGAGGTCATTGATATAGATGGAAAAGAGGGTGGGGGATAAAGAGGTTATGATGTTCGGAGGATTATAATTTTTAAAAATACTATCAATATTTACGTAAATCTATAAATTATCGATTTATTGAAATAATTCTGTATTTCCTCCGTATAAGGATCCACTATTATGTTGTCGGGGGCGCTTTTAATAAAAATACTATTGGATTTTAAAACACGTAACTGCGCATCCGGTTTTTCGGATTCGGATTCAATCTTTATTAGGGTCCACTATTATGCTATCGGGAACCCTTCTTATGAATATTCTATCGAATTTGAGAATGACCTTTTTGGATTTAATCGAAATTAAAATCAGACACTATTGTCCTAAAAACGCACGCCCAACAACATAATAATAGAGCCTAACATTCATTAAAACCGAAAAGTTATAAAAATTTGATGCGCGGTTGCACACTTTCAAATCCGACAATAGTTTTATTGAAAGGCTCCCGACAACATACAAGTGGACCCTTATATCGTTTAAATCCGAAAAAATTACAAAAACTGGGTGTGAGATTGCACATTCTCAAATCCGACAATATTTTCTTAAAAAGTGCCTCCGACAACATAATAGTGGACACTAATATTGACTAAATGTGTCTTATATAACCCCAATACAGACGCCATGGTTGAAGAAATTAAAAGAAAATCTATATTTATAATAATCATATAGTAGTTGAAAAATAAGAAGTACTCAAAAGAAATTGGCTGAGTATTTTCTTTAATCGAATATAACACCACGAGTATTTTCTGTACTTAACTAACTATTATTAATGCAGGGTGAGTGCTCTCAGTAAAGAAACTACTCACTAATTTTTCCTAATAAAAGTACTGAATCATAAAAATAACCGAATAATAATAATCTTTAGTCTTGGGTTTATTGCGTCCTTCAGAACTGCGACTACTGTTTGCAGGCATCTCAGCTGTTCCCCTAGTCCAAAAGGTCTAACAATCTGCATGTGAACCTAAAAGAAAGTATTACCTTCCTCCGCTCCTTGACCTCAATTAACACATTAACGGCCATTCTCATTATTACATTCATAATTATTAATTGTCCAAGTTATTGAAACTTGAAGTGAAGAGAGGGAATTAGACCGGTTTGGTAAATCATGAATGGGGCAAGGAGAATTGCTGCCGACAGAAACAAATGGAATTAACCCTTGGATGCCTTATGCTCCAGTGGGAGTCAAACAATCAAATAATGACAATAATAATAAAGACTAGTGGTGAAGAATAGGTACTTTTTTGTTAAATAATATACTTTGTAATGGATTCATTTTTCATCTTATTCATATTTTTTATATAAATGTAATAATTTGTTGGTTGTAGTTTAATGTTTCAGCTCTCCTATAGCTAATGATCCCAATCAACAGTTAACTATTAACTATTCATATAACTTATTTTTTGCAGCATCTTCGTCTACTAAATTAGTGTAATACAATTTGAATTCTAGTCCTCCCCTTCAGGGAATATCATACCAATAAATTGACTGGTAAATAGTTATAAATAAAAAAGTTTTAAATTTATAAATAATATCCATATAGCAGACAAAGAAGGTTGTAGCAATAAATATATATATATATATATATATATATATATATATATATATATATATATATATATATATATATATATATATATATATATATATATATATATATATACATATATATATATATATATATACATATATACATATATACATACTGTCTTCTATATTATCTTTTTTTTTTTCAGTTAATACAAAACTTATAATGACGTGTTTGATTTGCGAAGGTCACATCCATAGAATTAGGTGTCCTGTAAAAACACTCATTTTTATAACAGCTGTATTTTGGGGCAGAACCACGTGGCCTATGTGTGGCCTCCAAGGTTCAGGAGGCAATTGTTCATCGGATATAGCTTTAGATATAATTAGCGGAGAGTAAGATATACAAACAAATATTATGAAACTTGATGAACTGATTAAGATATTAACTTTCATTTACATAGTATTGGTAACTTTAATTTACTATACTTTTTTTTAATATTCATTTTTAGATGCGACTATAAATCCGTATGTTTCATAAAGCCTGATATCAGACATTTGGGTGATCCTTGCCCTGGAATGGGGAAATATTTAAAATTGGACTACATGTGTATAAGAGGTAAAATTCGGTTTAATTATTTTAATTGATTTATGCGTAGATTAATGCTATAAGTATAACAAAAAGACAATAAAAAAAAAACTTGTTGTCGTCTTATCAAAATATAACAAGGGTGCCAAGCTAGAGAGTTGAGATGCTTATTAAAGGGAAAGCAGAAAAAAACTTCTTTTCGTATTTCAGTTTTTTTTCCTTACTATTGCAAGTATTTTGGAGTATAGAATTAGGCAATTTTCGGAGAGCAGTTCATTTACACTTAGGAACAATAGTCCTATTATTTTTTTAAAACTTTTTTTTTTAAACAGGCGGTTCTATTTCCATATTAAAGTCAATTCAAAGTTGGTTTTATATATTCTACCTATAATTTTGTACCTGAAGACGGAATGGCCGAGCACAATGGGGAGTGGGCCCAGAGTGCCCGGCTCTGAACGTTGTTGGTTCGATTCCAACCTGGGTCGGTTACTTTTCATTTCTTGGCGGCCCACAATGGGGCGAGCTAACGCTACTTTTGGATATTGGGATTGGGAGAAAAACAAAAGTTACAATTTGGGAGTTAAGCTGCATTAGTGACAAACTAATACAATTTTTCCTTCATGTTCAGTGATTTAATTTAATAATAATTAATGTGTTATTAATGTCCTGAAGTGAGATAATAGAAGAAAAAATGAGAAACATCGTTAAAGCTGGTTTCCGGCATTTTTCGTTCAAACCTAACGGTATGTGCTGGGTAGAAGCACTTACTTCTAGTAAATCCTTAGACAGGTTTGAAAGAAAGGTTTCAACTTCAAAAACCAGTTTTCGTACCTCGCCCAAACCTATTATTCCGAAAGTTATTTAGGATTTAACACGCGGAAACGTTTTTTTTTTTCAGAGTGACTACCATTACTTTTTATTTATTTAATGTTTTTTTTTTGCTTGCGTATTTGTGCTACAATCAACCCAGGTTTAGAATAAACAATATCTAATTGTCTATACTGACCAAACTATAAACATATAAAGAGTTTAATGGCTAACTTAAAAAATAAATAAATATTTTTTATTATTACGTACATGCAACTTTATATATTTATATTTTATTATAATACGTCGTTATGAAATAGGTAATATATTATACAATGGGTGATAAATATTCAAGAAGCAGTTATTATAAAGATTTTATAGGTGTCGATGTTTCAGCCCAAATATGTGGTCCATCACCAGGGCGTGTTTCGAGCATTGAAGGTATTCAAGTACTGAGTGCTGGAGTTCTACATATAATAGTCGACTAACTTCCTTCAATAATAAATTATACAATATTTGAACAATGTGATGCTTACAATACAAATTACAAGACATGAATTTTAAATAATATATTAAACAAATGGATTTGGTATCTACCGCGAATATTTTTACCATATTTATTTTACATGAAATACATTTCTCGAAATAATTTTTTTGAACGAAACACTTATTATTTAACATAAAATACTTGATATAAATAGCAATTGATAAGTTTGAGCAATAATGTTAAAAATATTTTGTTTATATAATATTTGTTTTAAATAAACCAAATAGGTTTATGTTAAATAATAATTATTTAAAGAAATCTAAGTATTTCACATAAATAAATATTGTAAAAATATTCGAGGTAGATATCAATTTAATGTTTAAATCCACGTGTAGTTATTGTTTAGATATTGTATAATTTATTATCTATTTCATAACGACTTATCAGAACAAATTTTAATATATTGTATAAAGTAACATGTAATGTAATAATGTATGTAATAATAAAAAAAAATCATTTTTTTTTTTAATTATTCATTAAAATCGTTATATGTTTGTAATTTGGTCAGTACAGACAATCAGATATTGTTTAGTTAAAACCTGGGTTGATAGTTACTCGAATACGCTAGTAAAAAAAAGTAAATAAATAAAAAGTAATGGTAGACACTCTAAATTCAACGTACCTGCGTTTTAAATCCTCAATAACTTCCGGGACGATAGGTTGGGACAACGTCTGAAAATTGTTTTCAGAAATTCAAACCTTTGTTAACAATAGGGTACATCTGGTTTTTCGGAAAATTTGCAAAATGGACAAAAATTGCTTGAAATGTCGTAACAATATAGATATTTAAGAACCGATATTTTAGCTGTCTTAGGATTCACTAGAAGTGCCATATTCTGCCTAGCACATACAGTAAGGTTTGAACAAAAAATGCCGGCAAACCAGCTCTAAATATGAAAAAAAGTAGTGTCATGGCCGCAACTGCAGTTTAGCTTTTACCTTGCTCCGTGTTTATTATTTTCCAAGATGATTATTATATGAAGTTCTGGTGTGAGACTTAGTCAATAATGGCTTTATAAACAGTTCTTCATTTTTAAGTTCACGGATTAATAAGGTGGGTTACTATAAATTAACAATTAACGAGTTATAATTTGGTGCTCAGTTTAGTTCAAACGGCCGGTAATTACCTAGCGGGTCTTATTTTACTTGCGTTAAGTTCACGTCAAGAGCTCTGTTTGTCTAATATAATTCATAAACATTTATAATTATTTTATCATGATTCATATATACATAAACCTAAATTTGAGCAAAGAGTGACATATCTCCTAACGCCTTTGCATTTCAGTTAACAGTAAGAAGGTGTGCGAAGATGAATGGTTATTAATAGACTGTGGTGAGAAAACAATTTTTATTACTCAGGCACAATATGGCAGGTCACATCCGTATGTCTGCAATGAAAACACTGGATATGCACCTTCGCCTATACAGAGCCATGAATGCGCTAGTCGCGACATCATGCCTATAGTTCAAGAAAAGTAAGTTTTAAATTAATTCCATAATTATAATAATATTACATGTTAAATCATCCAATATATGATTAATTTGAGCACCACTTTCCTAGATTTGGAACTGGCACAATCTGACGGTATTTAAATGCTTAATTTTCATAATTGTATTTATTAATTAAGAATAAATCCCTTTTATACTAGCCATTTAAACTAGCCATACCAAAATGGCTAAATATTAAGAAAAACCGAATTTGATAATTAACTAAGAGAAACATAATGGTAAATCCAGCATAACAAGCCATGAAAGGTCTTGGGTTCAATAATTTGTAAGGAAGTACTGTTTCAAGGCCAACGGTTGTGGAGGGAGGTGAGGGCAGGATCTAGTGTTGCCCAAACGCAAGACCAAGACGAGACGGATGCGGTCTTGGTCTTGTTCTTGCGTCAACGAATCTTGGTCTTGGTCTCGGTCTTGCTCTTGCGCACTCGGTCCTGGTCTTGCGCAAGAGTCTCGCAAGAATCTTGCAGTTTCCTATCAGCTTATTACTATTTATTAATTATGTTGCTTTAAATCTCTGAAAAACACTAAAAAATAAGTACATTTAGATGTTTTATTAACTTAAACATTGTATAGTCCAACTAAATCAATAAAATTAAGAATTAAGAAAGATAGTGATAACTCTCCTCCATCACTCCGATTATATGGAATGAATGAGTTGTAGGTTAAAGACATTTTATATATTGTTACCAATGATTTTAATGAAAAACCGTGTATTTTCACTTACACGACTTTCCTATCTATATAAAAACAAAATTAAAAAATATAACTTTAAATGTGTGAATCAGAAAAAAACAAAACAATTGAATTAGATTCATTTTACGATTTCTTACGAGTAAGATTTCTTAGATGGACCAAGCAATGTAAACAGGCAAGGGAACCACCATTAAAATCAGCTTATAAAAAATAATATACTGTAACTGACTCAGAAACGTTAAAATCTCTTGAAAATCAATAGGATGTATACTTATGAGTTAGCTCCCCAAAACAATTTTCTTTTCTTTATAACTTATTTCATGAATTTTCTCGGGGGATTCACTAAATATACAAAAATATTATTTTGGATATAGATTATGAACGAGTGACGCGCGTCCTTCACATTCTCTAGTTTTCTATTTAGATTTTGATTGAAAAATTTCTCCATAACGGACTGCACACAGTGGTAACAAATGGACATGGCACTTCTTCTCTGGATTAAAACTACCAATACCCAATCAGGGATAAGCTATCCAGGACTAGATTTTGTTGTTGTTCAATTGCATGTTATTGAATTAAATTAAAGTATTGAAAAATATGTACAATAAAGGCTGAATTTGGCTAACCAATAATTTTAGGTTTCACTGAATTATTATAAAAAATTTGTTGATGTCCATGAAAATAATTTTCCACTTTTTAGAGGACAGACATACGGGTAGATTGGGCAAAAAAAAAAACACATTTAGTTTGCTCATCTGGAACCATTTCACCATGGTAATTCTATGTATTCCCATGCACATTATAATTCTACTGCAAATTTTTCGATTCCATCCATTCTTTGAAAATTGTTCGAAAACATTTATTGAGATGTCTAGAAATTAGAGTCTTAATCCTTTGTAGCTATTTCCACTGAATCGATTGTGATATATCAACATGGTTCCGGTTAAATTTCAAAGAAAAAGTTATGTTATTAATGAATGTACCAGAAAGCTCAGTATTCGCAATTTAGATATTCAGTTACGGAATGGACTTAATCCGTAACAAATATTAATAATGATAATATTAATTTAATTAAGCATTATTAATATATAACTTAATATTTAATATGCCAATCATAAAAGCACAAAGCCCTAGATAGCCAGGTCAAGCTATCTCTGATAGCTTAGAAATAGTTATCAAGAATGTACTGACGGGACACAATAAGACCCTTTATCAACAACAAATATTGGGGAACAATAACAGATTGCAGAAAAAGGCTCCTTTCTCTCATATCAATACTAAACAATAACAATATCAATTTCTAATAACTTTTAAAATGTTAATAACTTCCTTTGCCGTCCTCTTCCGACTTCTCCCACACTTCCCTTCACCTTCCCCCCTGCTATTCTTGGGGATACAAACCCCATCCTTCTCTGGACTAATCACCCATGCTGTTGCATTCTTGAAGTCATACTCTTTACTGCAGGAGACCTGGAGTGAACTCATGTAGTCAACTTATATATCCATATTATATTACTCTGTATTTTAGATGCCTTTTGTAACAGACATTATGAATAAAAGCATTACTTATAAAGTCTCCACTTCCTCCGAATCGTTAACTCTCGATTAAAACTTCGTGGTTAGACATTTTAAAGAAATCATGAATACTGTGAACATCGGGCCAAACACGGAAATCATAATGCAAAAAAATAATTTCTTTCGAGTTATGCCGTTGTTGCAGTAACATATAGATGGTTTCGTCAAGCTAGTATCCTAACCCTGCTGCGTCCACACAATCATTTCGAACAATTATACTTGCGCTGGATCTTTGAGTTGACAATACATTTTCGTGATCTCTCAGTGAATATTAAAGAATTTCTCAATGATAAGAAGTTTTCTCACAAATTAGTTGGCTGAAAAACAATGTTCATTTTGAACGAGGATAGTGGAATAAATGCAACGATTTTATCGATCCATAACAAATTGGAAAACCAACAAAAATTACAAATTACTATTAGTGTTTTTACTTTCACTTACGTATATATGTAATATATAGTAAGGGTAAGTATTGCGATCGAGAAAACTTTTGAATCTCAGTTTTCAACGGAAATAGACGTTTTGAGGTAGCCTGAGTAGAATGACGATGAATTAAAAGTCCTGCGAAACTGATATTAAGTATTTAGGATAGGTATATGCCTTAGATGTTACGGCAACTTTTCCCTTAAAATCGGCTAACCGGAAGTGCCACTTTATATCAACGCTGAAACATATTTTCACAATTTTCTCAAAAACAGCTTTAACGATTTTGAATAAACTCGGTGTATCATTGTATAATTAAGTGGTCTTTAATATCAATTAGGTCTTATCCCCATTGATGTCACTTTACAGGGATTAAATGCCCAATGTTCATAAACGTCTTCCTTTATAGTACCTTTAATATGGTTTATTTTAAAAAGTTAATCAAAGTTAAGAATTTGATAAGTTAATAAAGGAGAAAAAAAAATAAAAATGCAGAAAAATGAATGTACCGATTTCAATGAAACTTCGCTAAAGTCATTTTCTCGACACCCTATAAATTTATCTATATAACATACTTCAACGAAAAGATGCTGGAAAAAAATTTACGAGGGATGGTAAAATTAAATTCCAAATAACTCAAAAGTATACACTTTTTTTAGGATATTGTATATGGTTTTTTAAAAGTATATGGAATTTCCTAAAAAAACAAAAAAGAATCGTTCAGATCGGAAAACTAGAAGGAATGATATGGTCTCTAGTTTTTTTCCCTGAAGAGGCAAACATTTGGATAAATTCAAAATATACTTTCTTAATTGTTGAGACTAAAAAAAAACTTTTTTCTACAGATATTTAATAACGCATCTTTCCCAAGAACATTTTTCATAAGAAATAAGTACCTAAATTTATACCTTTATTCTTAGTTCTATATTTCAACACTGCAATCACCACCTACGGAATCAACTTACTCATATTCTGTATAGATAACTTTTTCAACTAAAAATATTGATGAAATTGATACTATTTAATTTTTACACTGTTCTCCGAATTTCCTCCAAGTTTGTGTCAAATTGAATGCGCCGTTTTCAAATTATAGGCATAACAATTCAAATAACACATTTCCTGATCTGAAAGCGGATGTATTCTATTTAGGAGTATTAGATAGAATTTGATAAAATTCATGTTTATTTCATTTTACATTTATCAATTTCTAAATTATCTCCAAATTAGAGCGAAATCGAACTTGCGGTTTTAGAGATATAGACGTATCAATGAAACACATTTGAGCATGTTCAGTCAGCCATAGATGATAAAAAACTAACGGTCCTTATCCTCCTGGACTTTTCCAAAGCCTTTGATACCATTAACCATTCCATCCTTTTCTCCAAATTGAAATCGTTATCCTTTTCCAACAGATCTATCCTTTGGTTTCAATCATTCCTCTCTCAACGTACCCAAGCAGTCTCTATCCCGAACCAACCTTTATCATCCTATCTAACTCTGTCCTCAGGAGTAGCACAGGGCTCCAGCATATCTCCTCTCCTTTTTAGTTCATACATTAACGACCTTCATAAATCAATCCTTCACTGTTCACATCACCTTTATGCCGATGATTCCCAAATTTACCTCTCCTTCGCTCCCTCTGAATGGCATGATGCGTTTGCCAAAATACAAGAAGACCTAAATCGGATTTGTGCCTGGGCAAGTGAAAATGGATTAAGGTTAAACGCTGCTAAAACCTAAGCCATTGTCCTCGGTTCCAAACCCCTTCTCAGATCAAATACCAACATTCCTCTCCTGTACCTGAATGACCAACCCATCACCTTCAACACTTCAATTAAAAACTTAGGTGTTATCATAGATCAAACTCTCTCCTGGAATCACCATATTTCCCTCATATCCCGACGTTCAATTTCCATCCTGAAACTCTTCCATCGCTTCCGCCATCTCCTACCCATATCCACACGTAGACTCCTAGTATCCGCCCTCATCTTCCCCCACATTGACTACGGCTGCGTTGTGTACGGTGGCCTCTCATCGGAACTTGGAGTCAGACTGAAAAGAATAATGAATGGCTTAGTACGATTTGTCAATGGGACCCCGAGACGTTCTCATGTTTCCCACTACTACGCCGAGTCAGGGTGGCTCTTCCACTCCTTCAGAAGACAGTACTTCCTAGGTACATTCCTTTACCAAATAATCGTCCGTCCTACGCATTCAATCTCCTTCAAATGAAGTCATCTATCCACTCCCTCTCCACAAGATCTCGCCCTTCCGACCT